TACACCAGCGCTCCCCACCCCCACCCTCCGCTCTGCCGGCCGCGCGGCCGTTAGGACAGCCCCGCGTGACGCACCCACACACTACTAGCGCCTGGGCCCAGGAACCGGAGCTCGAACACAGCTGGCGCCCGCCTCACCCCGGGGCCTCTCCCCGGTCCCGCCGAGGACTGCCGGATCTACCGGCGGGAGGGGGAAGGGCCGGGGCCACCGGGCCCACCGCACTCACCAAGCTCAGGCAACCGAACCCGGTGCCACTGATGAGAACCGCTAGCTCACTTGCCCGCCGGCCGTAGCCCTCCCGTGCACAATCTGTAAGAGCCGGCCCGCGCCTCGATGGTGCTCCCCAGGCCTCACTCTCCGCCACCGCGCACTCAGCCAGCGAGACCCAGCTCAGCCGGCGTTCGTAGCGCGCATGCGCGCGGGGGCTGGCCCACGCGCTTGCGCACGCTCTTCCGTCGCCTAGTTGCAGAGGCTGCCGGGAAACGTAGTCCTCCAACTATCTCACGGAAGCCGGGTAGGCTTATTCCCGACCAGTGATAAGTGGAGGGATGGGGAAGAAAGTCTCTCTTCAGAGGAGGTTACAGTTCATGGTAAAGGTTGGAGAATCGTGGTGGAGGGACAAGGAAAGGATACTTGCTGCCATTTGAACTCCCTTTGCCAATTTTGTGCAGTTATCAGTTTCCTTTCAATAACTGGTATCTTTGAATTGCCAAGTTATGTCCACAAATCTGTCTTCGAATCTCTTCTTTTTGTTCACTTCTATATCTAACTTCTATGAGTTGGTACACATCTGATAAAAGGATGGTCTGATAGACGGCTGATATAACGATGTTAAAAGTCAGTGTTTCCTGATTCAAAAAGACACCTGCACCCCCATGTTTACTGCCGCTTCATTTGCAATAGGAAAGACATGGAATCAACCCAAATGCGGAAAAGTAGATGACTGGATTAAAAAGATGTGGTACATATACACAATAGAATATTACTCAGCAATCAAAAAAGATGAGCTCATGCCTTTTGCAGCAACATGGATGGAGCTGGAAGGGATCATGCTTACTGAAATAAACCAGAAAGAAAAAGAAAAATACTGAATGGTTTCACTCATAGCATGAGCATAAAGGACGGGGCGAGTGGTGGTGGTGGTGGTGAATAATAGTAATGAATAACTATATACCAGAGACATTTTACTGGGGTGGAATGGGGAATGGGATCAAAAAGGGGGGGCGGGGAGTGGAAGGGCATTGTACTGTGGTGATGGCACATGGGTGATTTGGTGATGGGAAGCGCATGGGGATTACAACTGAGATGGAAAAAGGCACAAAATGATGTAAAACTTTTTTTTTTAAAGTCAGTGTTTCATGTCTAAGGCATTTACATTCAGCATGGTTGAGAAAGCATCTGGGTATTCCCTTTTCTTGATAGTGTCTGAGGAGAATCTAACATCATTCAAAAATTAAATGAAACATGTTTTACTCTCAATAAATGATCTCAAACGAAAATTTGAGGGAAATGTTACTCTTAAATTTTATAGAATTTATTTTGGGGGAATTCATTTCGTGCAAAGGTTTCAAAAGAAAAAGACAAGTCAAGCAAAGTTCACAAAGTCTCACGTGTGACTTGGTTTATCAAAGCCACATAAAACGTTCACCAAGGCACAAAGTGAAAGAGATGGGTAGTTAGATTTATAAATGTGGGAGAGGAGCACACTACCTGAATTCTAGGTTATGCAATGTTCATTTGTCCTGGACCTCTCTCTCCCGCTCTGTAACATCTACCCCTCCCCTGCCCTCACTCCCCAATTCGGTATTCCTCACCTATAGCCTGTTTTCTACATATAAAAGTTGCCTTTGAACAGAGGGTGCTGAGGAAAGAGAGGATGTTCTAAGGGACGATACTTGGCCAAGTATACCTGACCACAGCTACACTGATCACTTTTTTCAACATAGATCACCATACAAGAACTAAGATTATTTGGAGGTCTACTTCAGTTCTTGTGAACACTAGTTTATTTCCAGCTCATCCTAACTCCTAGCAAGTTTATCCCGTGAGGGTCCCAAACAAAATTCTGTTGCATTTACTTGGGCCTCATTTTCTGGACCCTAACTCTACTAACTCTACAGCCCCATGAAACAACTGATGCCAAATGTCAGGTTCACTTCCCATGGCTTACTTTTTTCTTGGACCTACAAATTCTCACTGCCAAGGTGCCAAGTTCTTTAATGCCTTATTGTTTTGTTGTTGTTTAATGTTTTATCCTGCTGTCCATAGTGGTAGGCTTTGTTCAAGAAAACAGCAGGCCATCATAAGGCAGAATTCATGTAGATATGTTACTTTTACAAAAATGTTACCATGCCATACATGGTATTTTATTAGCTGATGTCTCCCTGCCTATATCTTTCTCTATTTTTGAAGAAATTTAAATTATAAAATGATACTTTTCCTATTAAAAAGTGTTGCTCTCAACATTCTTGTACATGTCTTCATGTGTATAGGAAAATGGCAAGATCCTCAGACATTTAACCTTTTTAGATTTGTCAGGCAGAACTCATATTTGTCCCCTAACACTGTCTTATATAACCCCTACCCATCAAGTGGACACTGACTGACTTCTAGCTTACAGACTATAGCAAAGATGATGGGAAATCACTCCTATGATTATTTTGTTATATACATGTCTATCTTTGCTGGAAGTTTAAAGTGTACCCCAAATACTGATACTATGAAAATTGCAATATGAAAAGGTATATCACAAAGATAGCAAAATATTTTACATAGTAATGTATATGTAAACTTGGAGGTAAATCTAGCACTTACATATCTAAACATACTTTATATCTTTGATAGATACATGTATTTGAGATACGTAAGGGTACATTTTTATTCAAATATGTATACATGGATTATATATATTCTCAAGTTTCCTTATTAGCAGAGGTATGTTTTGGAACTTTCTGTTCTATTCACTTCATCTGTATATCCCTATGGGATTAACACATCTTAATTACTCTCTATATAAGTCATCATATATTGTGGGTCAAGTCATCTCCACTTTGTTTTTCTTCTTTGAAATTGTGCTGACACTTCTTAGATCTTTATATTTAATATAAATTTTATAATCATTTCATTCCTTTCATGAAGAAAAACATGATTTTGATTAATATTATAATTAATCTGTTAAGAGATTAGACATATCTATTGAGACTTTCAATAAGGATATATCTTACCATTTATTTTGGAAGTGCCTTTCAAAAATATTACTGCCCTTTTTTTTCATAAAGTTTTTAATACATCTTTTGTGATACTGTTGAATTTGTGGATTCCTCACCTTGTGGGCATGGGCACAATTGGAGGAAGGCCAAAGAAGGAGCCTCTCAAATTAGAGGTCTAAGGCAGGGTCTCTTTTGCCTTATGGTGACACCATATTATAGCTTACTGCTTTCATGAAGAGTACTAGTTAAGTCAGTAGTAAGTGCAGAAAGTGTTCTGTGCAAGAAGTTGAGCATGCAAGGTTCAGGAAAGTTTGGAAGTATGGAAGAATATGGAATTCATATGGGTAAGAGGTGCATGATGAAATTAGAGAGGCTGTAACATTTTAGAACTCTGAAATAAAATTTGAGCCCAGAGCATTGTCACAATGCATTCAGCTTTTATAAGAACTTGTCTGTGTGAAATACTCTTTTGATTGTGCTACCAACTTGCTGTATCACTTACTCACCTACCTAACAAATTTGTCAGATTCAGTTTGAGTTCAATTTTCTATATAAGGCTTTCCTCCTAATCCCTGATTAATGTATCTATCTCCCAATAAACTTTGTAATAAAAAAAATATATATCTATCTCCCTCTTAAAATTTTCCATGAAATCCATAGTTCCTCATTTATTATACCCAACCATATTTATTAAGTTGTCCATGGTGTTTGATATCGCTGACTCTAAACAGTCTATCAGTAGAATATTAGTCTTTGGATGGCCTTTAAATAATTTCACTTTATACACAATTTCATTTTGCACATAATTTTTCAGTGATTTATTTTGATATTTGACATACAAGATTCTAAAATCATTCTGCTGCCCCAATATGTCGCATTATTATCATTTTAGGAAAAAAAAGACTTGAATTACAAACACAAAAATATCTTTATTACATAGGAAATATTTCTTGTCCCCTATAGTAAAAGAGACGAAAGAACAATCTGAAAAAGAATGGTCATGAGGGTGTTTTAGATGGTATCTACCCACCCCAACTCCAAAAGATAAAGACAAAAATGAAAGCATTAAGATGATAGTATGTGGTTGGTTTCTTCAATAACCCAATAAGTCTGTCTGAAATAAGCCATTCTCTAAATCACTGATGGTCTTTATTTGGTTAGTTCCTCAAAAGCACAGTGATGCCAGCTGTTAAAATGATGTGGAGATTAATCAACTGAGCTGCCAGTTGAGTTCCTCCAGGAATATGGGGAAGAGAGCATCATGTTCTGTGGTGGAACATGAGCCTGGGAGCAAGTCCACAAATACAGGGGCATAGCCTGCGTGCCACTAAAAATAACAAAGGTTTCAGGATTGGAAACCATGTCAACTACACTGTCATGACTCTCAAAGTCTCCAGGACTCAATGGTGGAGGAACAATATTTGAGTGGTGACCCTGGCAGTAGGAGCCGATGAGTACTTCAGCCTCGAACACATAGATTAGCTTATCTGTGGTAGGTGTTTCCTTTACCTGGCGTGACAGATTTTGGAGCTTTTTGCTAAAGTATATGCCAGTTCCAAATTTGTAATCTAATAAAAGAAAGACATTTAAAAGATTAGTAATCTCTTGCAAATCATATTGTCATTTTGGGTTCTAATAAGTATTCTCTCTCTAGTCCCCTAAATTATCACAATCTCTTGGTCTCAAGTCCTTGAATCTGTAGCAAAGACAGCCAAAGTTGTTCCTTTGAGACAAATCAAAGCTGATAAAATCCGCACAATAATAGCTTACATTTAACTAACCGTTCAAGTTCACAGAGGAGTATATGATTTACAACTATTTTTATACTGATTAACTTCAATTAATCTGAGATTTGGGCAATATTTCCATTTAACAGACAAACAATCTGAGGTTAACAGATATTATGATTCAAATCAGCACTATCAACTAAGCAGCTGACAGAGAACCTAATAGAAGGAAGGTTGCATTTTCTCTTAGAACTTTGCCCTACTTCTACAGACTTTAAGTTAAGACTTTAAGCTTTAAAACTCCTGATAATATGGGTAGTGAAAATTACATTCAAAAAGAGAAGACAAACTATCTCTCAAACTATGGGTAGCATTCTAAGGAAAAATGTCAAGATAAGGGAACTCTGCGCATATATGGTAAAGACTGTGCATCTGCAATGGTTATGAAGATAGGAATTTAGAAGATAGGACATTCTGGTTAGTAAATGGACATTCTTTACTGTGGGGTAGTGATAAATCACTACTCCTTACCATGGCCTGGTGAAAGACTCTAGAGAAAGACCAATGCTTTCCATCTAGGTCCATGTTCAGCAGGCAATTTTCCCTGAATACTGTGCATGAATACTGTGATGCCAGGGAGGATATACTCTAACCCAATCACTGGAAATAAACATTCTTTTTTCTGATATAAATGCTTGTGATCTGCTTATTTTCTCTTCACTATTAAGAATACTCAAGAGTTTGAGAGCCAAACTCTGAACCTCAAGACATTCCCTGTTCAATGCCTTTCTATCCCCAACTTAGAGGAAAGAAAATTAAAACAACATTGAGGCCACATGTACCTTCCTTCCTTCCTTCCCTTTCCTTCCTCCTGCCAACCTCTCTCCTTCTTTCTTTACCTTTACTTGGGACTTAACCAAGCATCGTTTCTCATACAGCTCTGAACAACAGAAATGCAATGGGCTGACACTTACCAAAGGATGCCGAGTAAGTCCTTTGAAAGCCGACTCTGGATACCACTTTGCAGAACTGGTGTGGGACTTGCTGAAACAACCTGAGGCTTAAAGGTGACCTACACATTCCTCCTTCCATCATCATCTTCTTTCTTTGGAAGGCAAACCTGAGAGCCATGTTGTCTATCTTCTCTACCTATAATGCAAAAAAATGCAAATTGGAGAGATGTAAATTGTCTGACATTTCAAAAATAAAGACGCTTGTGGGCATATTACTATTGCATTCATTTTGCTTTCCTATAAAGTTGCATAAGAGTCTTTCCTCACTTCAACCCTCTTCTCATTTGACTTCTCTTCCAAATTGCCTGAACCTTTTTTGATAAATTGATCTAATAAGAATACACTATGTAGGTCCTCCCTGGTGGCGCAGCGGGTTAAAGCACAGCACTGAGAATCTAAAGCCGCTTCCGCTTCCACATGAGTTCGATCCCCGCCTGCCCCGAGGTGACCCACATGGCGTGGCAGACCTCTCCTGACCTGCCCGCTGCTCCCCTCAGCAGTGTACTTCCTCGATCTGCCTGTTCTGTTCCCCACTCTGTCTCTGGTGAAGCTTCTCACCGCCCCTGAGCCTCTGGCCTGTACCCCAGTTCTGTATGCACAAATAAATAAATCTTTAAAAAAAAAAAAAAAAAAACAAAGAAAGAAAGAATACACTATGTAATCCTTATGTTCCAGGAACTGGTAATGAAATGGTCAACAATGTAAACACAGTCTTTCCCCTATTAAAGCTCATAGTTTAATGAGAAATAAAAATAGGCAATTATAATACAGTGTGATATATGCTATTCATTTCTTTTATTTTGCTTCAAGCTATACAGGTAGGTCTTTCCTGAGACTTGATCTATGCTATCCTGACATTATTTCAACACTTGTGATTGCACTTGTACCTCACACCTGCACTTCCCTGCCTTCATTTCATTCTTACCCCTGGAATCCCATGTCAACGAGCAGCTAGCTATCATCAGCAGAGGAATTTTTCATGGCTACAGAGCCAAAAGAACTAATAGCAAGAGGAGTAAGTGTAGGTAGGTGTACCTTTATAACCTGAAAACCACACTTTTCAAATTGTTTCTTTTGATCTTGAATTTCTTCAGTTTCAAGTTTCAGACATTTCAGAAATTCATTTTCTTTCATTTCAAACTGGTTCCTTGGTTGCTGATCAACCCCTCCTAAAAATGAGCAACACAAAACTTTGTTTCAATGTTCTGTGACAGGTAAAATGTAAAGAAATTTAATGAAGCAAATTATAGAAATTTGGAGCAATAGATCAGCCAGTTGAAATTGTAGACCTCATGTTTAGGATATGCAAGAAAAGCTATCATACTACAAGAAATCACAGGATAAAATAGAGGGTTAATAAATTTGTCTTTGGATGATTTGGATTATGAGGATGAAGGGCTAAGAGAAAAATGGATTTTCACATAAACTCTCTCCATCAATACTGTAATGATGATATATAATTACGTTATTCACAGGAAATGTTTTTTATTTCTAACCAGGATGCCCATCAACGAAGAGACACATAAGGCAATATTAAGGAATGATAGAAAACAATACGAGGTTTCAAGATTTTATATAACACTTATATTTTATATATTACCCCAAGATTTTCAAAGAGATTTCATGTTTTCTACCTCATTTGATCACCACAATACCACCACTCAAATAATTAATACAATGTTACAAATAAAGAAATTAGAATATGAAAAATTAAGTAACTTGTCCAATATTACATAGCTAATACATACAAATCCAGATTATAAACTGACTTTCTCCAGTTTTCTTTTAGAAGCACAGCAGAACATTTGGTACATATATTATATTCCACCCAATAAAGAAGAATAAAATTTGGAGATTAGGCATCTATATTGATATGTCTTTCCTCCCTTTTTTAAAACTCTTTTCTTCTTTCTTTCCTTTCTTCTACCTCCTTTCCTTCCTTTTTCCTTAGCTTCTTCCTTCCCTTTTTAAATTCAAGGGACAACTTGTTAGATGCCAAAGGATCTTCCCACTATACTAAATATACTGATGGATAAATAGAAACTCCCCCAAAACTTATTTTTTTCCAGTTTATTTTTAGTTTGACTTAAGCCAAGTATATACTAACATGGCCTGATATTAGCAGGCTGAACTAATTGGATGTATTTGACTCAACCACAACAAGTAAATGATAAATTCAAAGAAACCTGCAATAGAGCCGAGTTATAAATCTGGGGACAAAGCTCTATAGCAGAGGAACTCCAAAGCCATGACATTTCAAAGGAAGAGCCTATAACTTAAATATGAAAAGCAATGCATAGATTTATGGACTCTAATATCAGAGTTCAGTGCACCTGAATTCAGCAAACACTTACTGAGCTCCTATTACATGCCAGTCACTGAGATGGGTGCTGGACACTCAAAGGTCCACAACTGGTATCAGCACACACCAGAAAGGATAAAAAAGTAGCAAGAAGACAAAACACTTAACTTCTATTATTTAAATGTTATTGCTATTATGGTTGTTCCCTATAATAACAACTCACTTCAAAATTATCTATTTGCTAATGGAGAGAGATCTTACTCTGATTAAGAGAGGTGAGTCTGTATGAACGTCTGACACACTGCAGGGATTAATATGCTTAGTCAACAACTAGGGAAAAAATGCCAAAATGCAGCAGACCAAGGGACTTACATGAGTAAACTCCCAAGAGCTATTGACAGTTTCACATTGTGAATGCAGTTAATTTAAAGTAATGCCACACACTTAATAATAGATCAATGTTTACTCTTGTTCTCTTGAGAAGAACCAATGTCAGTTTAAATATCCACATCTATTACATTTCAAAAGCTACGTAGAATTCATGATTTGGGATCTCATTCTTGAGAATTAATTTGTTCTTTCTTTTTTGACAGTGTGTTTCTGTAAAATGTGGATACAATATCTATTGCAAACTCCTTCTCACTTTGACCATTTCTGCCTGAATTATTTTTATAAACATGGTGAAAATAAGGAGTCCTTTGAAATTTTGCATTTAAATGTTGGTACTAAATCCATTCTCCATATTATTACCAGTAATAGTTCAAAAATAGAATTCTGACCTTATCTATGATTAACATCTTTCAAGATTTTCCATTTCTTTTAAGAAACACTAAACACTTTTTCAAGTAATTTATAAAGTCTTGCATAATCTAGGCCCTGCTATGGTCTGATATCTTGAAAGTTTCTTTCTTTGCCTTACTTCTACTCTACTTACTCTTCTGTTCTCCATTTGTGACACTTCTGAAAAGTTTTCCCCAAATCCCTGGTCTGGGTTAGGTGCCTTTGCTAGATGCTTCCTGAGCAACTTTCACCCTCTTCTTTCACGACAAACATGCTCTCTAGTTAGTCTCTCCACTTAGATTTTGAATGGGAATATGTCGGTTTTAGTGCTATAGCACTAGTGCCCAGCACAATCCTTGGCACAATCAAAGACACAATATACATTAGTTGAATAAAAAAAAAAAAAGTCTCAAGCTCCTCCCAAGATGGCATGATCAATGGTACAAATTTCAAGTTCACTCTGGGACTATTTTAAAAGTCAACCCTGGGCCCTCCCTGTTGGCTCAGTGGGTTAAAGCACAGCACTTAAGAAGCTAAAGCCACTTCAGCATGAGTTCCAACCCCTCCTGCCCCAGAGGCGACCCACAGGGTGTGGCAGACCTCTTCTGACCCGCCCGCTGCTCCCCTCAGCAGTGTACTTCATCCATCTGCCTGTTCTGCTCACCCCTCTGTCTCTGGTGAATCCTCTCACCACCCTGCACCTTAAATCTTAAAAAAATAATAATAATAAAGTCAACCCCAAATTCTGTCAATCTGATGAGTTTCTGTCCCAAGGTGATACTAGAGCGTACCTTATGGCACTAATGAAAAAATAGTGAGAAGGCTCAAAGTGAGTAATTTTTAGGGCTCTAAATGCTGCCAGCAACAAATAAATGCAATAAACTCAAAGAAATTAAGTAAGCAGGTAAAATGTATCCACATTTGTGTGCTCCCTCTGTAGAAGCAGAGGTATATTACCCTCTGCCCCCCTCAGTCTGAGTTTGGGTTACTCAGGTTTTCCATGTAATTGCCTCTTAGGCAATCCATGTCATAAGTGAATCCAACTGTGTGTGTGTGTGTGTGTGTGTGCATGTGTACTTATTTACTAATTATTAACCTTACAGAAAGAGAGCCAAAAAAAAAAAAAAAAAAAGGCTATAAAAGTTTATGGCTTAAAACAAAGCAAGCCCTGTTGCCCACAATCTCTCTTACCACATACAAACATATCCAAGAGAGACAGTTCACTTTCCAGCTTGGTTACTTACCTGACAAGCTCCAAAGGGCCTGCTCCTTTTTTCTTGCCATTGCCTCTTGAACTTGACACAGCAAATACTCAATTTTCATAATCACCTCAATGATGTCAGCGTGGGCTCCTTTAATCACTAACTTTGCCTTTCCCGAGCTGACATTCTCTGTGATAGAGACTCCTGTGGTGTTCTGTAACTGAGCAATGTTGTCATGTTCCTTCTTCCCAAAGTAGAAGATATGATTATTCTCAATGACATGGTTGCCCTGGTTGTAGAGCATCCTTAGGATCCACTGTTTGGCCTCAGCCATCTTCTCCGGGTTGAGTCCCATCAGACTGATGGCAGGAGATGTAGCTTTCTGTCCACATTCTCTTCTCTCTCTGGTCCACTGGGAGACTGAAAAGACGATTGTAAACAATCACAGAGGACAAGTGAGTTTTAACCTAATGCAGAACTAACCACCTTGATCAGTGTTTGCTCTCAGAACACTGTCACCACTGCCAGCAGTAGCAGTTTCAGTTAAATACTTACGTCTGAGGGCCGTGCTATGTATAAAGGGAATTTAAATGTGTGCTTTACAGTCTCCTTAGGAACATAGAGTTTATCATGACTTCATGTACATAAACATCCAAAAGGGCAAGTTTATTATAAAAAAGGAAAAGAAGGACAGGATGCTTGCACAGACACAAGTGGGCAGAAAGAGCCACCCCTGAAAGGGATAGTTTGTTAAAAGAGATGCTTCGTAGGTAGAAAGAGGGGTTAAAGTGTCAGCACTATCAAGCTATTATGCTATCACCAGTCACTGAGGCATGAGTTCAATGCCCATATGGCACAGCAGACTTCACCTGGCTCACCTGCTTCCCTCAGCAGTGTTTTTCAGTTGATCTGCCTGTTCTGCTCCCCACTCTGTCTCTGGTGAAGCCTCTCAACTCCTGCACCTCTGCCTACAACCCACTTCTTGTATGCATAAATAAATAAAAATAAATCTTAAAAGAGAGAGAGAGGCCCTCCCTGGTGGCGCAGCGGGTTAAAGCACAGCACTGAGAAGCTTAAGCCACTTCCGCATGAGTTCGATTCCCGCCTGCCCTGGAGGAGATCCACATGGCGTGGCAGACCTCTCCTGACCCGCCCGCTGCTCCCCTCAGCAGTGTACTTCGTCAAGCTGCCTGTTCTGCTCCCCTCTCTGTCTCCGCATCTCTGGCCTGTACCCCAGTTCTGTATGAGTAAATAAATCTTAAAAAAAAGAGAGAGAGAGAGAGAGAGATGCTTATATAGGTCCAGGCAGGCTTTATCATGCCTTGTCCCCGCTGACTACATTGGTCAATTCACAGCTGGGTTTAACATCTCATATGCTTGTCAACCAACTATTATTTCCTGATGAGTGGAATTTTCTTTTACCTATAAACAGCTCTGAAAACCAAAATTAAAGAGTTAAATTTTTTTTTAAAAAAATACAGCATTGGGCCCTCCCTGTTGGTGCAATGTATTAAAGCACAGCACTGTGAAGCTATGTGCAGCCACTGCAGCATGATCCCAGCCAGAGAGGTGACCCAGATGGCACAGCAGACCTGTCCTGTTTCACCCCCTGCTCCCCTCAGCAGTATGTTTCAGTCAATCCATGCATTCTGTTCCCCACTCTGTCTCTGGTGAATCCTTTCATTACCACACCGCTGGCCTATACCCCAGTTCTTGTATGCATAAATAAATAAATCTTCAAAAAAATACAGGCCTTTCTGATTATAACAATAATAAATGTTTATTATTGGAAAATTACAATTTATCAAAGTTTTATGAAAGGAAAAAATAGCCATAATTCCACTCTCTGGCATTCCTTCCCATGCCTTCTTTGTGTATGACAGGACAGTTTGCACCTCTACCACAAGTACCTGAGTGAAGCAGCTGCTGTCAGGGAAAACAGCATATCCCAACAGAGAAAGAAATGGGACTTGATTCCAACCCAACAACCTGCACCCTTGTCTATAATTCTCTCCACAAGTAGTGAAGATACAGGCAAAGAGAATTTCTAATAGAAATTTGATACTGACCCCAAACTGCAGGAAAATAGTGTAGGGCAATGGAACAGCTAAGAGGGACCTGATAGGGGAGGAAGTATTTAGAATTTGTAAAAAAAAAAAATCCCCTGAAATCATTTAAAAAAAAATCAAAGCCAGTAGCCATTAGGACAAAAGATATCACAGAAAAGGAAACACAAAGAATGAAGATATGTATGCAAATATATTCATCTTCATTGCTAAGCAGGAAAATTAAAATCTTTAGACTGGCAAAAATTCACAAGTCTGACTATATCAAGTATGAAAGGATGGACAGCACTTGGAGTGCCTATGACAGATGTAAAACTGGAATAATTCCTCCTATGATTACATTATTTAAAGAAATATACGCATGTGTATCAGGGGATATGGTCATGAAAGTTCACATTCTTGTTTGTAATAGCAAAAAAACTGGAAACAACCTAAGGATGGAATATTATTCTAGCAGTGAAAAAGTATGAACTTTAGTTACAAATGAATCTCAGAAACATCCTGGGAGGGGAAAAGTTGAGCATTTACATGTTCTACATTGTTCCAAGTGCTTTACATATATGACTTCATGCGATCCTCACAACCCCAGGAGATAGGCACTATCAGTAGACCCGCATCACAGATGCAATACTGATTCAGTTACTAAGTAACTTGTCCACAGTTATAGAACGAGCTTAAGTGGTATACATGGAGCTAGTAGGTGTGAGCAGTGTAATTCTGTGTTCACACAACTGTGCTTCCCAGTAAGTGATCCCAGGACAATAGTGGTAATTAGAATCTGGATGGCACCAGGAGCAATGAAAAAGTACCATAACAGATCTAGAAGTAAGAAGGGGAGGAGGGCTTCCTGTTGAGCACAACTAAAAGCCAATGTTTTAGATAATAGCAAGAAATGACAGGAATTTTTAAGTGGGAAACATATTTATTTTTTTGCCCTTGGTTTGTATAGGAGCTTTTATCACTTGTGAGAAGAAAATAAAACAATACATGGTGACACTATTTATCCATCATTATGAGGGAAAAAAATTTTTCTTTCTCTGAGATAACTGAGTAGCTCAGATTGCTAAAGGATCTAACACTAGGACCAGTTATTTTTAATAGTAACTTATGAATTAACTAGTTAATATTTAATATTAGCTATTTATTATAATATTATATAGTTAAATATTTCTAGTGGAATCACACTTCCCTATCTTCCTAAATGGTCAAACTTTTCCTTGAAAATCTGAGATTATCATCAGTAAGCAACAATAGTGTCAATGAATGTCCTGTGCTATAATTAATTCCCTTACACATATTCTCAAGAATTCCTGATGAATGAACCTTCCTGGTCACGTAGGGGTTGTCTCAGTGCTATCACTTCTGTGACCTCAGTTTGATCCCCAGCCAGGGAGCTAACTTATGTATGGCAAAGCAGACCTCTCATCTCTCCCGCTGCTGCCCTCAGCAGTGTATTTCAGCCGATCAGCCTATTCTGCTCCTTACACTGTGTCTAGTGAGTCCTCTCACCTCACTATCCTCCAACCTCCTTCCCCCTGCCCACACTTCTGGCTTACACACAGTTCTTCTACACAAAAATTTAAAAAAAAAAAAAATTTTTGATGAAAATGATAATGACAGATATTTGTACGTTTCTTCTGTAAATATCCTTACCAAAAATTCTTCTCCTATCACGCTTCCTCCTTAGATTCACTGTGTTTCACCAAACATGTACTATGTTTGTTTGCTTCTGTGAGTTTCTTTCCCTTAGTTGACCCACCCCACCAACTTTGGCCTTTGAAAATCTTGATATCCTCAAATCCCAGCTGGAAACTATCTCCTCTGTGAAGTCATTCTTGATCCTTCCATCAGTATGAATCCTTCCCTCCTCTGGGCCATCTGGGGAATTTACTCATCTTCACATTCATTATTTACCCTGTAATTTATTTAATACTTCACAATTCTTACATATATTCTCCAGATTTTCTCACACTAATGTGTCATTATTGTCATTGTACAGATAAACAGGCTGCTAAGAGGCACAGTAACAGACCAGAGTTCTTAAAAGTTCATTCTTCATTTCTACTTCTGGGTCACTGAACCTCTGTAAGAGAACTCTTCTCTTAAAGGATATAAGCAAATTCTTTGGACCCTAATGGGAAATATCCTAAAAGTTTTTATTACGTTGAAGGTACAATGTTCTTAACATATACAGAGGCTACAGATTAAAAAAAAAATCCCAAAAGTGCATACTAGATTTCATAGGCAATTTCATCTCAATTCACTCAAACTTCATTAAAGGAATGGAGCTGTAAGACAAACTAAATTCTCCTCCAGCTCTCAACAATGGTTGGTTTAGTTCAATGACCTCCAAGCCTGGCTGAGCAGCAAATCTGATGAGAGCTTTGAAAAAATATGTCCTTGACCTAGATCCAGAGTTCCTGAATCAGAATCTATTAAGGCTTATATTTTTGTTTAAGTTTCTGTCAAAATCCCAGTGATTCCTCAAGTTTGGGCAGGCAGCATTAGGCTAATATATTCATTGTTACCTGGTATTGCTGAAATGTGCTTTCTGCAATAACTAGTGAGTAACCCTATTTGAATGTAACCCTGTTCAAAGCATGACTTTGAATGACTTTATCTCCTTAGTTTATGAAGGGCAGACTTTATTTTAGAAAAATATATATATTGGTGAATAAAAACTACCCACAACAACTAAACTTCTCTTTGTTTATTTCATGAAATTGTATTAGGCAAGAAGTATAAAGCAGGTTGCTACCCAGGCAGAGCACAATGAAATTTGTTTAGTCTTCTCCTCTCGTTAGTTCAAATGATCGAGATTGAAAGTGCCTACAATGGGAGTCTATTTCTAAACCCTTGAATTTCTTAGATTTTTTAAGATTTATTTTTATTTATTTATGCATAAAAGAACTGGGATGTAGGCCAGGTGTGGGGGTGTGGGGTGGAGGGGAGAGGGAGGTGAGAGGATTCACCAGGGACAGAGTGGGGAGCAGAACAGGCAGATCTCCAGAAACACACTGCTAAGGGGAGCAGCAGGCAAGACAAAAGAGGTCTAAAGCACCATGTAAACCCTTGAATTTCTACTCACCATTTTGACTGATGAAACTCAGAGGACTGTGCTTAATCTTTTCCATTTCAGCACTAAAAATCTACAGGAAGCAAAGAGAGCAGAGGGTCATAAGTAAGGCGTTTATCCATTGTCATCAAAATCCCTCCCTCTATCTGCACACCCCACCAATGACCTCACTCACTCTGTCGGTCCTCATTCTTACTGCTACAACTCTACAGCGACACGTAACAAAATCTTGGGGGACAGAAAACACAGCACTACAATTGAATACAGCGTATAGGAGAAATAAGTATAAGGAAAATGGGAAGAATAGCAAAATCTACTATAGTATGACACAAGCATGTACTCCAAGGTAAGTATAAACTTCTCAATTACTGAGAGGTGCCTAACAATTACAAACTTCCCTATACCTAGCCAGGCAGCAAAAGGAATTAAAAACCTTTACATTGTTTCAACAAAAGGCAAGCTAGTACAAATATAAGTTTACTTGTTTGTAGGGAGAAATAGTGACAACTAGACACATGGAGACCGGCTCTGAAGAAGGTAAAAGAGAATGATCAGAAAACTAATGTGCAGAGACACTCCCTCTGCCAGGCACTGAGCAAGGCCCATTCTACTCCAAACCAAGTCACCTCCCTGGGAAGTGAAAGGAGCATCTGAATGTTACTGTCAGCAGAAGCAGAAACCTGGGTCTGAAAACCTATTTTAAAGTGCTGTATCTAATTGTATTTCAATGTATTTCACTTCCTTTTTATTCTTCCTAATGTTAATGAAATCCTTTTTGAAAATGCCAGATAAATGAGAACAAGGCAAAGAGATGCTTCTTTAAAGGCAAATCAGCACAGCAATATATACTAACTATGCCGAATACAAATATCAGGAACTTACTAACATGTTAGAAATGCAGTTTGATCTGACCTCTCTGCAACAAAAGACTGAGATGAAGGGAAAAGTAAATACGGCACACACAAATCTCCACACAGACACTTTCTCTTACACACTTTCCTCCATCTTTGTGTTAGAACACAACTGACTCCACTCTGAGTTCAACGGAAAGAATCAATTGCATTTGAGGGCAATACTGGGATATGGCAAAGCAGCCACATATCCTCCTGCTATTAAAGAATTTATCATTTAATTGGGAAAAAAGGTACCAAACAATCCACTTAACTTAGTAATCTGTTTAGCACTCAGTGTACTGTAACTCATTACAGCTCATATAACAACAATACACCTTCAACCTTCATGGAGGGCTGACTGTGTGCTAGGTACTATTCTGTGTTTTACATCTATTAACTCATTTAATTCTCATAATAGCCCCATAAAATGGTAGTTATTACCCAATTTAAAAGTGAGGAACAGGCCCTCCCTGGTGGCGCAGCGGGTTAAAGCACAGCACTGAGAAGCTAAAGCCACTTAAGCATGAGTTCGATTCCCCGCCGCCCCGGAGGTGATCCACATGGCGGGCAGACCTCTCCTGACCCGCCCGCTGCTTCCCTTAGCAGTGTACTTCAACAATCTGCCTGTTCTGCTCCCCACTCTGTCTCTGGTGAATCCTCTCACCACCCCCGCACCTCTGGCCTGTACCCCGTTCTGTATGGATAAATAAATAAATCTTTTAAAAAAAAATGGTGAGGAACAGATAAGTAAATTCACTTGCCTAAGGAGTTGACTGACTTGACAATGGAAGTCAAAGATTTTATTTTAAAGATACCAGATTTAAGACAACAGTCAGATATCCAAGAAGAAATGAAATAGGACAGAAGATGAGGGTTTGAAGATGCTCAGAAGACAGGACTTGAAGTTATGGAAAAAGTAAGAATGGTGTTCTGAGAGGGAGAGAGAAACAGAAGACACCACTCTGAAACTAGAATGTTGTTTACCTTCAAGAGCAGAGGAAAGAAGAAATGCCAACGAAGGAAAAGAGAACAGGTAGGCAGTTTGTAAATGTGGTTTCCATAAAGACATTCTTTAATAGAGGTAGACAATTTGTAAAAATGAAATCTCAGCTAGTTAGATCATCACTACACTGTAAAGCACTGTGTCTTATATTGGAAATACTAAACAAATTCTGAACGAATGAGGGAATGATCTATGGGACATTTCTAAGATACTAACTTACCGTATATAGGTCTTGTTTTGGTAAAATCACAAACTTTATAGTTAACTTTTTGTTCACATGCTGATTGGCAAATGTTATGACTTCTTTAAGCATGATCTCTGCTGCTGTAGCCATCTCCATACGAATAACAGTTCCAGTTCCAAGGGCAGGAAAGGAAATGGAAGTTACACCTAGTTCAAGACATTTAGACAAACAAGTCTTCACTGCATTCATCAACATCTATAAGAAAAAGACAAATTTCAGAACAGTCTTTGAGTCAACAATAGGATAAAACTTCACTTACCCCTTGTTCCTGCCCATATTTTACAATGCAAACCTCCTCTCTCCCCCAGCACCACGTTCATGTCTCTTCAAAAGGCAGAAAAGTCTCACTCCAAAGGGAACCATTATATCTATAAGGTTAGATGATAAGAAATCAAAGGACCAAGAAATTAAAATAACTGAATGGTCCATTTCGAGCTATTCAGGAAGTTGGGGGAGCAGTTTATGTAGCTCGACCATCTCCCTAGGTCGGAGAGTCAACTGACACTTTATGCCCATTCCTTTGCTACTTCCAGATCAGCAAAAAAGAGATGTTGGAAGTGTAACAAAAGTGTTAGAAGTTAAAATAGCTGAGTGTGTAACCAACATCATTAAGATCTGCCATGTAATTTCTCTTTGAAAAGTCTTAGTATAGTTGGCCTATTTAAACTTTCCATTAACATTTTTTTTTCACCATCCCAACTGAAGACTACTACAGGAAGACTGTCTTTGAAAGAATCTTGGAAAACTGAGGGGTAGAGAGTGACCGGAGGACCAATGTGAGATTAGAGAGGAATGGTGACAGAATAAAGACAAAGGCAGAGAAAGGGATTAAGTTTCTTTCTCCACATCTCACGGGTTCCCCCTGCTCTTTAATGTGTACATTTTATGTGATTCCCACATAGAGATGGCCAGAAAACCTATCTTTACTGCAAGCAGAGGTGGAAAGAGACCCCAGGTGGGCCCTCTCTGGTGGCACCGTGGGTTAAAGCACAGCACTAAGAAGCTAAAGTCACTTCAGCATGGGTTTGATCCCTGACCCAGAGGTGACCCAAATGGTGCCGCAGACCTCTCCTGGCTTGCCCGCTGCTCCCCTCAGCAGTGTATTTCATCGATCTGCCTATTCTGCTTCCCATTCTCTCTGGTGAATCCTCTCACGGCTCCTGCACCTCTGGTGAATCCTCTCACGGCCCCTGCACCTCTGGCCTGTACCCCAGTTCTGTATGCAAAAATAAATCTTTAAAACAAAACAAAACAAAAAGAAAAGAAAAAGACCACATGTATCAGAGTAGACAGAAATGGGCATGGAAGGGAAATCCCAGGTCCTCCTGGATTTAACAGATAGAAGGAAATACAGAGAGACTGAATTCCAGGCCCGCTGGGTGTGGTGAATGGTGTCGAGAGCCCTGAAGTTTCTGTTCTCTCTGCAGTCTACACACTTAAAACTTAGACGTGACTTATATAACTTTTTTTAAAAAGATTTATTTACCTTTCATACAGAACTGGGGTACAGGCCAGAGGTGCAGAGGATTCCCAGAGACAGAGTGGGGAGCAGAACAGGCCGACTAATGAAGTACACTGCTGAGGGGAGCAGCAGGCGAGTCAGGAGAGGTCTGCCACGCCATGTGGGTCACCCCCAGGGTGGGGATCGAACTCATGCTGAAGTGGCTTTAGCTTCTTAGTGCTGTGCTTTAACCTGCTGCAACACCAGGGAGGGCCCGACTTATATAATAACATTTTTAATTAAACTTCTTAAAGTAACTTGTGACAATACTTAGGTCAATATTTAGGTATCCATGGGAATGACAGAAATTGAGGATGACCCCACATGACAATACCCCATGCATATAATGACAGGACAGAAATTCAACAAAGACTACAGAGACTATGGAGCTACAGAATGATAAACTTATTTTGACCTTACCTGTGTTTTGGAATGTTGTGAATTCCACAACACATGGAATATATAATGACAGTGTAATTTAAATCCTTTTGTGACCAAAACCAGTGGACTATCTTTAGTTAGCTTGGCCATTTTCTTATTAAACTCCTTTTCCATTTCTTTTCCTGCGTGTTTTAGAATTGATGTTGACACAGGTCCATGTTTAAGATTACCAGGTGGTTTTGCAGAATTAACAATTACATTTGTCTGAAAGAAAAAATAATGGATAGAATTCATTATTAAATTACTTTTTCTTAAATGACTAATTTAGCTTTTAACCAGAAAAGCTTTGAAAAGTACACTTTGAAGATCCTAAACCCACAAAATATCATTTCATAACAAAAACTCAAATTTCCAAAGTGTTATCATTTGATTGCCATTAGTCTGTTTATTCAGAAATTAGGTAAAGTGTGTTAACAGTGATTTTTTTTTTTAAAGATTTATTTATTTATTTGTGCATACAGAACTGGGGTACAGGCCAGAGGCTCAGGGGTGGTGAGAGGCTTCAACAGAGACAGAGTGGGGAGCAGAACAGGCAGATCGACGAAGTACACTGCTGAGGGAAGCAGCGGGCGGGCCAGGAGAGGTCTGCCACGCCATGTGGTCTCCTCCGGGGCAGGCGGCAGGCGGGAATCTAACTCATGCAGAAGTGGCTTCAGATTCTCAGTGCTGTGCTTTAACCCGCTGCGCCACCAGGGAGGGCCTAACAGTGATTTTTATTGTAAACATCTATCAGCACCTTGTTGGCTTATACCTCCCAATATATGCAGATTCTGAGCATTTCTTTTGATTTGTTTGAAGCTCTATTCAAATGGTTTCATTTCCTTGGCCAGTTATCACTTTTGCTATTTCTGTGTGAATTTTCTGTTTTGTTTTAAACAGAAAATTCTCAGGAAATTTCTACTTGCTAAGGTTTTATTTTGAAGATAAATAATATATTGTTAAAGTAAATACAAATTGGACAAAAAGTCCAATGAAAAGGGGGCTACTTTAATGGGGAACTTGGTAAAGTCCCCAAATGCCCACTCACTCACCCATCCTACAGAACATCCTAGTACTTCATCTGTTCCTTTGTTAAAACAAAATTTTTTTATTTATGCATACAAGAATTGAGGTGTAGGCTAGAGTTGTGGGGCAGTGAGACGATTCACCAGAGACAGAGTGGGGAGCAGAACAAGCAGATCTACTGGAATACACTGCTGAGGGGGGCAGCAAGGGAGACAGAAGTGGTCAGCTGTGCCATATGGGTCAGCTCCCTGTTTGGTAATCAAACTCGTACAGTGGCTGCTGATAGCTTCACAGTGCTGCACCACCAGGGAGGCCCTTCATCTATTCTTTCAAAAACAGACTGTACATGTACATGGGCTATCTTTAAGTACTATCACTTCCTAGCTAGCCCCCAGAGCTGTGCTAAAGTGGGGGCTATATTCTTCTTTCCCCCTATGCCCACATTCTCTTGAGTCCTCCTGATGGCTTTAGTTCCCCTCAGAAATACATTCTCATGGATGTTAATGAATATTTCACTTTGAAAATGCAATTAAAATTTGCAATTTGGGGCCCTCCCTGGTGGCGCAGTGGGTAAACGCTGAACCAAGAAGCTAAAGCCACTTCAGCATGAGTTAGATCCCCAGCCATGGAGCTGACTGACATTTTGAGTCAGCAGACCTCTCCTGACCCACCTGCTGCTCCCCTCAGCAGTGTACTTCGTTGATCTGCCTGTTCTGCTCCCCACTCTGTCTCTGTTGAATCTTCTCACCGCCCCTGCACCTCTGGCCTGTACCCCAGTTCTGTATGCATAAATAAAAAAATCTTAAAAAATAAATAAATAAAATAAAATAGACACTAAGTTCCTTGGAATTAGATTGTCCCATCAAGAGTTTTTTGGTTACTACCCATAGGTTGCTTCAGAAAATTCATATGGTTGGTCCCCCTCCCATAAGATTTTTCAAAAAATTATTTTTCATATAAAAAAATAGACACTAAATTCCTTGGAATTAGATTGTCCCATTTCCTCATGATGCTTAAGAATAAAGCAATAATACTTATAAGTATTTTTCATGTGTCAAATTCTATTCTAAGCATTTTATGTGTATTGATTCCAACTCTAAGATACAAATGCTCTGATTATCCTCAATGTACAGAGCAGGAAATCAAGGACCAAAAGAGAAAGTAACTCAATTCAGATCACCCAGTTAGTTAAAAGCAAAACTAGTGTTTGAATCTAGATGTTCTTTATCTGATGTCCATACTGCTAACCTTAGTAAAATGCTTTCCTAACAGTGTTTGAAACAATGTTCAAAATATACTTGATAGGTAATCAGTGGCTTAGAGATCCCCTTGGCAGTACAGGAGAACAGAAACAGACTCACCTCCTGCTGTTCAATGTAGCCCTGGACAACCTGCAGAGTAAAGTTGTTTACAACCAAGACTCCTTTTTGATTCATCCAGGATTCCAGTTCATTCTTCCCTAGGATCTCTTCTGAACTTTTTTTAAAGGCAGCAACAGTAGGATCTTCATTGCTTACCAGGTGAATTTCTTTCAAACAACTGTTCAGTTGTTTTTGCTGGAAATATTGATGGATCGTTTCCACAATGATCTTAGTACACAAAAACAGAGGGAACTGGAAAACCCCAGAGCTCACAGCTGGAATTGCTATTGTCTGAATTTCCCTGCTCTTTGTGGCAAATTCCAGAATGTTCACAATAGCCTTTTGCAGTACACAGCAACATCTCTCTCTTTCCCACTCTTTCCACCGAGGTCCAACAGCATGGATAATCAATTTGCAGGGAAGCCTCCCTGCTTTTGTGACAGCTGTCTCACCAGATTGTAGTTTACCATTATTTAGGATGTATGCTCTGCTCTCCTCTTGGATTTCTAAGCCACCAGCTTTCACCAGGGCTAGGGCGAGGCCTCCTCCATGTATAAGCTCTTTATTGGCTGCGTTCACTACCACATCAACAGCATGTCTGGTGAGGTCGTCCTTCCAGACAGACAACTCTAGCCTAGGAGTCAGCATTTTTCTGAAGACTTGTAGAGAGTTGTTACCTTCCTGGACTGTAGAAACCAGGGTGGACTCACAGTCAAATTTATTCTGGAGGAGTTCATGCAGCAGACTCTTATTATTTTTTAAAATGTTGAAGTCATTGTGATTAATGGGAATTTGCCAATTATTGTTTTCTTTAAGAGTGCCAGTGTTTGGAAAAGGAGAGAAGATTAAAAAATAAATGAGCAAGGGTTTCTTTGAAAAGATGTAATTCCACCTCACACTAAGAGACTGAATCTATTATACACAAAGAGAGATGAAGGAGTCTAGCCTCCTTCCTGATTTTCCTTCTCATGTAGACATGTAATTAAGCCATGCACATCCAAGAGTCTCTAACAGTGGGTCACCTATGAAGTGCTTAGTTTCATGACTGACATACAATAAGTACTATGATACAATGAAGATGATGAGAAAACTGTGTGAATAAGGACTTTTGATATCTAAAAAAATTTTTTTAATCTACACAAAAATGATAAGACCCAGCCTTAAGACACATGTATTAGAAGCAACTTATAATTGACTTATAATTAAGTCAAAAACATATAAAGGCTTTATTCATAACTTGTTTGCTTTTGTCAGTTTTTTAGCTTCGGTTCTCTTAGAAACAGATTCTGAGGCAGGGAGAATGGTCTGAGTGAGTGTGATCCTAGAAAACACCAGGAGAATGAGGTGGGTCAGGTCAAATGGGAAAAGCATGAAAAGATGAACAAAAAAGGTGTGTTATGAAGCAAATGAAGCTTAACTCCAACTAGGGGACAGTTAAGTAGATTATGTGTCTCCAAGTCACTTCACCAGAGGGGCTATGTGACTGGGACATGTATCCAATTTATTTTTTAAGATTTATTTTATTTATGCATAAAAGAACTAGGGTACAGGCTAGGGGGACTGGGGGATGAGAGGATTCACCAGAGACAGAGTGGTGAGACAGAGTGGAGCAGAACAGGTAGGCTGACTGAAATACACTGCCGAGGGGAGCAGCTAGTGAGATGGGAGCGGTCTGCTGCCCCATGAGGGTCATCTCCCTGGCTGGGATCAAACTCATGCTGCAGTGGCTGCAGAATAGGTTCATAGTGCTGAGTGTTAATCCCTTGCGCCACCAAAGAGGTACACCCAATTTCTATTAGTCACTGATTGAGGACACTCCATAGGAGTCATGGTGCAGCAAATATGGAAGATCCTTGTCAGTACCACAGTAAACAAATTCTTCATCATATTCTAGTTTCATGGCACAATTCTGGTGGGATTAAAACAAACTCACTAAACATTATTTATTCCATGTGGCAGGTAAGAAGATATGCTACTGAGATCTTCTTGAATATGATATGGGAGTGGGTAGAATATAGTTTACTGATGGTTTCTAGTTGTTAGCCCCTTAAAAGCATTCTAAAATAGGTAAAGTAAGGTAATCACATTTTACTTCAACTTTCATTTACACTATAAGCACCTAGTAGCAGTCAGATCTAACTGGCCAGCATTTTGGTTGCAATCTTAAATGGGCAGCCCCCAGTATGATACAGGTTAAGCAAGGGACACTCTGGGGGTCACTTTTTCTGGCCCACATAAGTTCTAGGGCTGTGATCAGAAGCTTCTCACAAGCTTTTATCTTGTGAGAAGGCAAGGAAAACCCTAAAAGAGTATCTGTCTGAAAGCACTCCCCTCCTGAGGCACATGCAGGTTAGCAAGCTTCACCAATAATGTCCCGCAAACATGCCCCTGAAAGCCTGTGGAAGAGACATTGTCCTTCCATATTTCCCTTTCACCCAAGAGGAAAGATTTCCAGAAATAAGAGGGAGAGAATGAGGTCATCCTACCTGAATCCTCACTGTAAGCTGCTTCTACACCACCCTGTGAAAAAATGAGAGTGGTTTAAAAAGGACATAAAACCAAATGATTAGATTACCAATAACACATACAGTTTACTAAACACAAGGCAACAGAAACCTGCTGAAAGTGCCAGATTTGAGGGGCAAAGGGGACATGTGCTTGCTTACTTGTTTAATCTGTGTGTCTGAGTACCTGAATTACTTACATTCCAGCAAGCATGATTTTGCCCAAAGGCCAATACACCTCTAACTCAGGATGAGATGAAGGGCTAGATACTAGTACTTTAAAAGGCCCAACGGTCACAAACCAAACTAACCCAAATCTCTCACATAGACCTCTCATCTCCAAAGGCTTCTGAAGTTTCTCCAGACAGAAAAGACCACGTGGAACATACCTCATCTGCTACATCGCCCAGTGTCAGTAAGGACTCAGGTTCAATTGCTTATTTCATGACACAAGTCATAAAGCAGAATTTTCAGGCTAACAAATGAGGTGACTTCTCTATTCCCTTGCTTTTATTCATCACCTTCCTTTCTCCATCCTGCCAAAAGCAGAATTGCTTTTGGCAATTGAACAGATACGATGAACAGATACGATGTTTGATATGAATATCAAAGTGATATTGAGGGGACATTTTAAAAAAAAGTCATTCATCCTCTTATTGATTCTGTTGAATGGATTAGCATATTCTTGACTCCCCACTGAAGAATGCCAGATATAATTAAGATTACTTGCTTTTACATAAAGAAATTATCATGTGCTGATCAAAGTCCATGATTTATATACATCTATACTTTTTTACCTCCAAAAACTCCATCCTTCAGGTCTCTGGGTTTTTTAAATTTTTATACTCTTTTCCTTTTCCGAGCACAGTTCCCAAGTGTTATGATCCACTTCTAGGAAAGAACAGAAAGGATATAATAAACATTGAGAATTTGGCAAGAATATAACAGAGGAAGATTAAACATGATTTCTGATCTTGAGTAGTTTTTAATCTCATTGGCGAAGATTCATGCTTTGTATTTGCTACTGTTGTTATTGTTTACCTTCAGTCTTACACATAAGATCCAACTGGAATCATACTGGCAGTTCAGAAAAGGGAAAACACAGAATAGGTTACAGCAGAAAAACTTTATCGAGAAAGTGAGACAAAAGTCAGGCTTCCAAGGAGGGAGTAGGCTGTTTTAGAAAAAAAAGGATGATAACTGAGTAGTTAAGAGTGTTCAGTATTCAAAGAACATTAACATAAAAACCATCCTCATGAGGCCTCTGGAGATTGAAGAAAGAGGGAACTAGTTGGATTTGTGCTTGTGAAGGGTGTGTGTGAGTTTGATAAATATCCCTGATCTACTTAGGAAGAGAAATAGCTGGATAAAAACTGGAAACTTAGGGGAAACATCTTAGTGACTTTCTGTCAAATAAGCATTAAAGACTGACTTTTTTTAAAATGATGAGCAAAATATTTAAAGACATAGTTGTTCCTACTTGTCTGATAGTTATGTTTAGATCTCTGAAATTATTTCTAATACCTTTGCAATAGAAAAGTTTTGTATGATACCTAGGATCAGAGCACTATTTTTCTGTCAGGAAAAGCAGAAGCAAGTCTAGTACAGTGCTAAAATGTGATAAATTGCCTCCAGAGGGCACTGGTGTTTCCACAAAAGAGGAAGACCAGTGTCTGCTTGGGCTTTAGGTGGGTGGTTTCCTTCTTCAGACTAGGTTTTGTTTCATTTCTTTATTTTATTTTATGATTTATTTATTTATGCATCAAGAACTGGGGTACAGGCCAGTGGTGTAGGGGGTAAGAGGATCACCAGAGACAGAGTGGGGAGCAGAACAGGCAGATGGACTGGAAGCAGTGGTAGAAACGGGAGAAGTCTGCAGCACCACGTAAGTAGCTCCCTGGTTGAGGATCAAACTCATGCTGCAGTGGCTGCAGATAGCTTCACAGTTCTGGACTTAATCCCTCACACCACCAGGGAGGCCCCAGACTAGGTTTTAAAAGTTGAGAGATAGACTTGTTTGTGGAGTTGATGTCCACTGAACTGAAAGAAATTAGAAACAAGGAGCATATTGCCCAAAACATTCAACCTCTCCCATTTTACAAACAATAACCAAGAGTCCTGCCAACTTACCATAGAAGTTCCCACTGTGTTTCCAGCTGGCCATCCAGCTGCCTGCTTAACTGTTGCAGTCTGGCTCCCTATGTCACCCCAAACACTCCTCTATGTGTTAATCCTAATAGGGATTTGGGAACTCCTCAAATGTCCATAAATAAGCATAGTGCTAATAAATGAATGGAACAAATTCCTAGAAGTGGAAATGCAGAATCATAAAGTACATGTAGTTTCAATCTCACAGTCCAGCCAAATAATTTCTCTGTAAAGACTAACCCATTTTCATTTCCATCAAGTGTAAAAGCTTCTCTGGTATCTGCCATCATTCATCCCTGATTGGAAACATATCCTCCACAAGTTCAACACCAGCTTTTTAAAATGCACCTGGGATATATCACGTTCCTGCTTTCCCTGCTTACAGTCTTCCATTTCTCCTACTGATCTTAAGACCTTTGAACATCTAGACCTGTGCTAACCAAGGTCGGCCATTAGCCACAAGGAACTCTCTAGCACTTGAAATACAGCTAGTTCCAACCAAGATGTGATACAAGTGTGACATAAACTGGATTGCAAAAACTTAGTAAGACAAAAAGAATGTAAAATATTTGGATTTTTAACATTACATGTTAAAATGATTAAATTTAAGATATGTGTTAAATAACATACCATCAAAATTAAGTTCCCCTGTTACAATGTTTAAGCTATGGCTGGGCCCTCCCTGGGGACACAAAGGTTGTTAAAGCACAGCACTATGAAGCAATAGGCAGCCACTGCAGCAGAAGTTCCATCCCCAGCCAGGGAGCTCTGGGACTTGGTATAGCAGATCTCTCTCAGTAGATCTGTTTTGCTTTCCACACTGTCTCTAGTGAATCCTCTCACCCCTGCACCTCTGGCCTGTACCCCAGTTCTTGTATGCATAAATAAATAAATCTTTTAAAAATTAAAAATAAACTATGTCTATAAAAGTTTTGGAAATTACATATGTGGCTCTCCACTGTATTGCTGCTGGACAGCACTGATCTAGATGCTTCCTTCATGTCCCTCACTCATCTTCCAGAGAGATTCAGAGCTCCCTCTGCGCCTCAGACCACAGCAGACATACTGGCACAGACCTCTCCCCCTCTCCTGCCCCACTTCCCCAACCAAAAGCTGCTTCAAACTTCCCCCTGCAGGCCTCAGGGATTTGCTTCTCTAGTCACAAGTCCCAGCCTTTACAAGCCCTTGACTTGTGGCCTTGCCCTACCAACCTGGGCAGCACGAAGCCCAGTTCTGTTGGCCAAATCAAGGAAAGAGGACAGAAAAAAGTCGAGCTGGAGGGAGGTAACAGGTGAAAAGGTGACAAATTCAAGTCTTTTTTAAATGTAGGTTATGTTTAATCTGAAATCAGCGTGTGAATTATAGATTTGCAGCAAACAATGAAAATTTGAAGCAATCACAGAACCCGGAGAAACTTACTTTTGATGACTTAAACAGCTGACCACTCTACCCCTCACCTGGGGAGACCCGAGCCGGTCGAGCGCCACTCGGGAGCGCGAGGGTGTCCAGCGCCCGCGGGAACTGGGACCCGGGCCCGACACCCGCCGGGGGACGCGGAGAGGAGCGGGGCTCTGCCGGGAACAGGGAGTGCTCACCAGGAAAGCGAAACTGAAACTTCGCGACCGGGGCTGCGGGGCGGGACGCCGGCCTGCCGCAGCCCTGCCTGAGCCTCGCCCAGAGCCCCGGACGCCCCCACGCCGCGCCTGCCAGACGCCGAAAGCCATGGCCTCGAACGCTGGCCCGCCGTCTCCGCTGTTCGTGCGGGTGTCCGAGCCTGGCCAGCGGCTACAATGGAAGCTGGAAAGCTACTTCCAGAGCCGGGAGTCGGACGGCGGGGAGTGCACCGTCCGGCCCGTTGGCGGCTTAAACCCGGAAACTTTTCTGGTGGAGTTCGTGGAAAGGGAAGGTGAGCTGTGGAGAGGGGCTGCGGGGAAAGGCGTTTCCCGGGACCCAGTTCCGCGGGCTTCCGGCCTGACCCTATACACTCTGATCTCGGAGATAGTGGGGCAATATGGCACCCTCTGTCTCTACAGGCAGGAATGGGTGGGAGGGTGCTGGGAGCTGACGCTGGCTGCCTAGAAACACAGCGCCCCCAGCAGCGGTGGGGAATAAGGAAGCCTGGAAGTCCCCAGGGGGTGATATGGCTGACTGTGCCTTCAAGTGGACTTCCGGGTCGCCTGGCTTATATTTCTAAGATCTCGGAAGAACCCCTATCCCTCCCCCCACACCCCCCAGCCCTGTCAGCTCTTGTTATTTAGAAATTCCACTGTGAGCCCACCCTGGTGGCGCAGCGGGGTTAGGACGCAGCACTGCAAGCTGGCCACAGAGGCTTCAGTGCGAATTCGATCCCCGGCCCCGGAGGTGACCCACGTGGCTGGCCCACATGGCGCGGCAGACCTCTCTTGGCTTGCCCACTGCGCCCCTCAGCAGTGTACTTCATTGATCTGCCTGTTCTGCTCTCCACTGTCTCTGGTGAATCCTCTTGTTACAGGGCACCCCAATGTGAATTGGGTTGCCTGTCTGTGGGTCTTCACCATGGCGCTTAAGGTTCAATTGTATTATGGACACACACAAAAAGGTTCAATAATGGATTTATTTACAAGGAGAAGGGTAAAGGAACAACCCAGGGAAAAAGGGAGAGAGATACGGGTTAAACTAGAATGTCCTACCAGTTCTGCTGACTTGGACTCCGCCAGCACGCTGAAAATCTATGGAGAGCCAAAACACCAGCGAGGAACCACCAGGCCAAGAGACCCCCAGAGCCCAAATGTCCGATTTTATCCTAACCTGGCTGCTCAGCTCCGCCCTCACGTCCCAGCGTGCTTCTCCTTGTTATTGATGGGATTAGTAGTTCCAGTATCCCTCTCACTGCCTCCTGCTCCTCTGGCCCCAGTTCTGTATGCATAAATAAATAAATCTTTTTAAAAAAGAATTTTAGGCCCTCCCTGGTGGCGCAGCGGGTTAAAGCACAGCACTGAGAATCCAAAGCCTCTTCCGCATGAGTTCGATTCCCGCCTGCCCCGGAGGTGACCACATGGTGTAGTAGACCTCTCCTGACCCGCCCGCTGCTCCCCTCAGCAGTGTACTTCGTCGATCTGCCTGTTCTGTTCCCCACTCTGTCTCTGGTGAAGCCTCTCACCGCCCCTGAGCCTCTGGCCTGTACCCCAGTTCTGTATGCACAAATAAATAAATCTTTAAAAAAAATAAAAAAAAATTTTTTTTAAAATTCCAGTTCTATTTTAGATTACTATTACTTTATTTCTGAAAATTATAAAAGCAATTTATGTTTCCTAGAAAAAATGAGATAAGGAAGAAGGAGATAAGGAGATAAACAGTGTGGACACTTTTGTATATTTCTAGACTTAAAAAATAAGATTTATTTATGTATGTATACAAGAACTGGGGTACAGGCCATAGGTGTGTGCCAGGAGTGAGGGGTTGCAAAGGATTCACCAGAGATAGAATGGGGAACAGAACAGGCAGATTTACTGAAATACACTGCTGAGGGGAGCTCCGGTCTGGAGAGGTCTGCCACACCATGTGGGTCACCTCCCTGGCCAGGAATCTAACTCAGTGCTACAGTGGCTTCGGATAGCTTCATAGTGCTTGCTTTAACCCACTGGGCCACCAGGACGGGCCTGCTAGCCTTTTTTTTTTTAATGAATGCATTAAACAGACAAGAATTTTTATAAAATTCTTGCTTTGATTCCTGCTTTTTGCACTTAACTCTATAAAATGAGTATATTCCATATCGTTGAACTGGGAAACCATGACAGTTTCAGAAACATGACTTTTAATGAGGACAGTGTTCCATGACCGTTAAGCGTAATTTATAGAGTAAAACTTTAGAGTTTTGATCTTGTGTCTTCTATCACCAACCAACCTTTCCAAGATACAGGGTGGAGGCCTTACTGGGAGAGTGCTAGGGTGGGGCAAGAAATGAATGCACAAATAAGAGGACTCTCTCCCATTTCTATGTATATCTTTAATGCCTCCACTGAAGCTAAGGAAAGAGTGTTGAAAAAAGGAAAGCACCATATTACAGTCGACAACAAAAACGTGAATGTTTTCCTGGAACTTACTGAAAATGAAAAAGAGAAGAACACCAGACCCAGAAAGTCTTCATTGACACAGTCACAAGAAGGGGTGAGGTCTAGAGAGAAGCATGTAAGTGGAGAATGCAGTCCTAGTGCTGTCGAGTCCTATATCCAAAAGGTAAGTGTTGAAAGCCTCAGGTGGGTATGCTCCCACAACTGCCGAAATAGTCACCATACTTTTTGTTATTGATCCAAGGACCACTTGCTGAGGACTTACTATAAACCAGGCATTGTTTTAGGCACAAGCACATGAGGAGATCACAATATACCAGCTCCCTGGTGGCAGTGGTAGGGAGGGTTTACATCAAAAGACAGTGAGTTCATAAAGCAACTAAAGAGTGTGTGTGCTAAGTAGAAAATATAATGGGGTTTGCTTTAGAAAGTAACAGGACCAGGGCACAGAAATGTTGCTGGTTCTCACTAGAAGTCAAAAACAACTTCTTGAAGGTGCCACTCAGTCTGAGACCAGAATGATGGGAGGACCAGTCAGCTGAGTCATACAATAAAACAATATCAGCTGCTTACGATATATATGTGCCAGGCACTGTCAAAGGAACTGGGGTAACAGCCAGGATCAGAGCAGACCATTCCCCCAGGGACAGTATGTTCTAGTGAAGGAGACACAATAGTGAACAAGTGGATATATACTAAACTATCTACCTGTTAAGTGTTAAAAAGAAGAATATAACAGGATAAAAGACAGTGACCTCACTACTGTTTTAAATAGCATGTCGTGAAAAACCTCAAATGAGGTAACATGTAGTAGAGCTATGAAGAAGGGAGCTAGCTAAGTGAATTTCTGAGGGAAGAATGTTCTAGTCATAAAGATATATAAGTGCAAAAATGCACTTCCATCTCCTTCCCAGACAGGAGCTTACCTCCTGAATCTTGGGGCATTCAGGCCAGTGTAACTGGAGGGCAGAGAACAAGGGAGAGTGATAGAAGAACTTGAGAAAGTACTTCAAATTTCAGATCTTTAGGGCACGAAGGTAAAGACGTTAGATTTTAACTTAAGTAGGGATTTATTAGATTATTTGTGAGCCAGTTCAGTGGGGTGATCAGATTTACATTTCCAAAGGACCTTTTTGGCTGCTTTCTGGAGAACTCCAGGTTGGAAGGGGTTTGTGTGGAAGGTCAGAGCCCAGTTAGGAGGGGTCGCAGTGGGCCAGGAACAAGATGATAGTGGCTTAGACTCACAGTGGTCCTGATGGAAGTGTAAGAGGTAGCTGAATTCAGGAAACATTTTAAAGACAGATCTAGAGAAAGGATGTTACCTGCAGAGGAAATAGTATGTGCAAAAACCTTGAGAGGGAACAAAACATTAGAACTTGCTTTTATATTATATTCAGTCTGCCTCTGTCCTTTATGCCTAATTTATTGCGTTTATTTTATGTTTGAACTATAGATCAGAATTTAGAGGGCCTGGTAACATTGAGTGCAGTTAGGTGTCTAGTTAGTAAATGATTATTATGATGATGATGATGTATGATGATGATGATAAATGGAAGGGTTGAAAAAGAAATAAAACAGTAATGGCAATAAAATCTGAGATAAAACAGACCCCTCCCCGGTGGTACAGCGGGTTAAAGCACAGCACTGAGAAGCTAAAGCCATTCAGCATGAGTTCAATCCTGGCTCTGGAGATGACCCACATGGCACTGCAGACCTCTCCTGACCCACCCGCTGCTCCCCTCAGCAGTGTACTTGTCAGTTGGCCTGTTCTGCCCCCCACTCTGTCGCTGGTGAATCCTCTCACCTTCCCCGCACCTCTCACCTGTACCCCAGTTCTGTATGCATAAATAAATAAATAAATAAATAAATAAAACTTTTTAAAAATCTGAGATAAAACATCCTCAGATTTATGGCTTCCTGTCCAGTTGACACTACAGCAGCTTGCTCAGAAAGCTGAGTAACTTCCACCTACCCCATTCTCCAAGACCTATCAGATAGTGGCAGCTTCAGACCCCAGACATTTTGCCCAAAGATTTTTGTTGTTGTTGTTATGCTCATGCCCAAGCTTTGAGATCAGAATCTCTGGGATGCATCTGAGCCTTGCTTGGCTTTTTTCCCTCATCCCCCAAGTGAGTCTAATGTGCATACAGGGCTGAGAGCCTCTGGGCCATCCCATGCTGTATCCTCTGCAAAAAGAGTGTCACTCTGCTAAGGTGAGACACAGTGGTTGTTTCTCTGGTCTCTAGACATTCTCCTGAGAAGAGACCATAAGTCTGGATATCTGAATGATTTCCTTTGTTGCTTTTAAAATTTCAGATCTTTCTTACCGTCACAGCTGAACTGAACTGCGAGCTGTTCTCTGAAGAGCAGAGGGAACACATAACTACTCTTTGTCCCAATATCAAAAGAATCAAGGGTGATGATGGGGTTGAGAAGGTGTGTGGTGACTTAAGAGATATTGAAAAAATACATTGCTTCTTAAATAACCAGCTCCTGGAAAATGAGCACAGACAGAAATCTTCTGCTTTGACAAAGAAGCAGGCACCCCAGCAGGCCTGGGACAGCAGTATTTCTCCCTCTGAACCAAAAGCCAGGTCAGATGGAAACCATTTGGAAGTTCCCTTGCATTGCTTTGAATATTTCAAACGTAACTGTCCTGGTAGAATAGACTCAATAGAGAAGCAATTTAGTGTCAAGATAAAAACTAAGGACAGTTCTCTGAATATGATCTGTTTAGACTTCACCTCAGATCAGCCAGGTGACCTCGAAGCAGCTCTCAACTGTTTTACCAGTGAATTTCAGAAGATGGTAGGAAACATGGAGTCAAGCTTCCTTCCAGCAGGCAGTAAGCAGGCAAATAAAATCAAACAGGATTCAAATCACCAGTTTACAAATCTCCCTATAAAAGAGAAAGAAAAGGAACTAACTTTCTCTGGGACCCAAGATAACATGTCAGCTGCCAAACATTTTCTTGCCCCCCAAACCTCTAAAAGTCTTGTCAAGGTGCCTGTGAAAATATCACCTCCTGGATACATGATGGATGGAATTAAAGTTGACACTGTTCACTATAAGCTTTTAGAACCTGAATTATTCCAGGAGATAGCAGAGATAGAACAAAAGTACGACACCCAATGTCATGTTCAGGAATCCTCCATTTTTTTTAAACCCAGGAACAGGGACTTAGACCTGTCTGTGCATGCTTATGAAGCTTTCATCGATGCCTATCAACGTATCTCATGTCAGCTGATGAAAGAAGTTCTTTCACTGAACTCTTGGGGCAAGGAGAGAGAGCACTTACATAGACTCATGTTCACTGATGACTTGAGAAAAAAGCATCCACATATCCTCCCTCAGATAACTCAGGAGTCAGTGACTTTGATCGGGTTGCCAAAACACCTTGCAGAGGCAAAGCAGTATATTTTTCAAAGAGGGGGAATGTCTCCATTAGCTGGAAAGAAACAGAATGAAGACCATGAAACACCCATGGATGTCGACAGTAATGACTCAAAAGCAGCTTTGCCAACATGCCTGCCTTCTGCCAGTGCTAGGCCTGCAGGAACAGATGAGGAAAAGGACCTCTGTGTCATCTGCTTGGACACTATTAGTGACAAACAAGTGTTGTCGAAGTGTAAGCATGTGTTCTGCACACCTTGTATCAGGCAGGCCATGGCAGCTAAGCCGGTGTGTCCTGTGTGCCAGGTTTACTATGGAGTCCAGAAAGGAAATCAGCCAGAGGGAACCATGCATACCATGGTCTTACCAATTTCACTTCCAGGTTATGAATCCTGCAACACCATTAAGGTTACTTATAATATGAAAGAAGGCATACAAACAGTAAGTATTTCTGAAAATTTATGTTTTTTTTCCTACTATGTTAGAATCACCACAGCAAGCAAGTCTATTCTGTTCCCGTTCAGATAGTGGATTACCCAGGATATTATTCCATGACCAAGGGTAATGATTATTTTTTATAACTTAATTATCTTTTGTGTCTATTAAAGCAGCAATAAGGTGATAATTACGTGTTCAGGTAGGAAGAGAGAGGAAGGTGAAAAATGTTCTCAGCATGAATTTTGGGAAAGAAGAAAAATATGCATTATTGGGAATAGGAACAGATCTTCAGTACTGTATTTGTTTTACCTGCATAGGAACACATCTGTACATAGATACATACATATTATATACAGGTATATTTATGTATATAGGTGTATTTACTATATATAGTAACATTTAGATGATGGTTGTTTTCATGTGCATTTTCTTGTTTTCATACAGAAAGAGCATCCAAACCCAGGAGTGAGATACAGTGGAACACAGCGAAGTGCATACTTGCCCAATAATAGAGAAGGAAATGAGGTTTTGACACTGCTTCGTAGGGCCTTTGACCAAAAACTGATTTTCACAGTGGGGTATTCTCGAACAACAGGAACCTCAAATGTCATTACTTGGAATGATATCCACCATAAAACGAGCCTTAGTGGGGGACCAGAAAGGTGAGAATCTTTGAAACATATTGATTGCTAAACAGAATTTAGAAAAATTTGGTGGTTTGAGAATGTGGCTGTAAAGAGATTGTTTACAACAATAGGATTGGATACAATCAAGTATTTTGAGAGATGCTAATCTGGGTCGATAATCTCAAAAGGAAAAAGATTTAATCCTATCACCTACTGTCTCAACTACAAACTATCAGAGCGACTAAATTTTGCATCAGTGGACAGGAGTTTTCAGAATTCAAGATGAGTGATATCTAGGATGGTTTAATTTGGAGTTTCATTCTATTTGAAGGGCAGATCCTAGAACTGTTATTTACTTTGTCTTCTTTTAAGATCATGCCTTGACCTTTTTGCCTCATGAGTTCATAGTAACCCTAAATTCACTAGGTCAGCAGAACTCTAGCAAAAACTTTAGTTAATGGTGTTGGAAGTTCAATCATATGCAATCTAGATAGTTTATCTGTATAGTTTATGAAGCTCAGATAAAACACTTCAGACCCTTACTATTCAAAAGGTGATGTATCCTTCAGCAAATTACACAAATTCAAAAATCTTCCTATAACCAGATGACTGTTCATAAAAATATAGTGTAGTATAACTTTATGAGAGCCACTACTTAACTATGAGCTGGACATTAAATCTTGTTGGAAGGCAGGTCCTGTGCAGAGAGTTAGCTAAATGACAGTTCTGCGCACTTAGAAGTGATTTTAAGTCATTTGCCTTCAGAATTACTTATAAATGTTTGCAACAGTGACTGTTAATACTGTTAATGCTTTTTCGATTCTTTAAAGACATTGGTATTGCAGCTAAGGAACGTTTTCTTTTTGCAGCTTTGGCTACCCTGATCCTGATTATCTGAAACGTGTCAAACAGGAACTGAAAGATAAAGGTATTGAGTAAGGAGAATGCTGGAAGTGTATCTTGAGCCAAGCTTTCCAGTGGCACAGTTGACAAGTATATACCAATCTGAATTCTTATGCAGACAAGTCAGTCTTTTAAAAGTTTTCATTTGTTAAAGAAGTAGTTTGTGTAAGCATCTACTGGTTTGCCATTTCTATAGTATTACTTTTTTTTGGAAGATAAAAGCCTCCAAATCTCTGTAATTTTGACAAAGAGGTATTGATTGAGCCCCGTTCTTGCATCATTGTGGGATGTGGTTATCTGTGGGTTTGAAATCTTCTATGTTCCAACTATTCCTCTTTTAATTACCATCTCTAGGATGGTCCCATAGTGTTTTGTTTGTTTGTTTGTCTGCCTTTTAATCTCTACACTAGTGTGAAAGAGGGGGTGACAGAGAGCTTGGGAATGAAAAATCTGAGATCCACTTTTTCTTCCTTCCTAGAGCCAGAAAAGTAGCCAGGAACAGAGGTTGGGCAACCATTGGTAATAAATTGAATAAGACTGTTCTTTTTCAAGACACAGATACTAGCATATAGTTAGTGTTTAATAAAGTTTTATAAATAAAGGTGGTTAATAACCCAGCAGAGAGATAAATGTTTCCCAGCAGGAGGAGTAAGGAAGCCATTTCTGGAGTCATCAACATTGATTTGGAGCAATGAGCTTTTTATTCCAGAATACTTGGCTTCTGAACTAGCCAAGTGTCTAGCTGGTCCTTGCTCCCCCTTGATCCTTATAAGCTGCCATCTGAGAGGTTCTTTTTTTTTTTTTTTTTTTTTCATCTGAGAGGTTCTTGTCCCACTGTAGCAATGTTACACATTTCTGAACATTTTTTCTCTCCTGGATATATTCATGTAGTTTTTAAATTTATCTCACTTCCAGTTTTAACTGATAAGTAAACACACTTTAGTTTCCCATAGGCTGTCATTTTCTCAGTAACTATAGACCTCACAGTCTTTTTTCCTAAATTCAACAATGTCTTGTTTTCTCCCTTAAAATTTTTTTCTCAGATCCTCTCTCTAGACAGAGAAAAGGCAAATATTGAATCTATTACAAGGAATACATAGCATATCAAAAATTCAAATTGTTCTCCCAATCAGAAGAAAGCCTAATAGCAAATTGTCTGATTATCCACATCCTATTCTATCTCCAAAAGTGGCAAAAGAGATGTCTTTTTATTTTCCTAAAGGTGTACATAGCACTCATAGAAGTTTTAGGATTAGGTAATAATGGGTAATGCTTATTGTATATTTATCTTATAAGATGTTCCTATCTATGTGATTGATAACTTAACTAGCATCCCCTTTTTATAACTGACAAAACTGAGCACAGAAAGAATAAGCAGTGAGACAAAGGCTACAAATGATAGGATTTGACCGGTAGTCTGACTCCAGGAGGTCTGTACCCCAGTAGCTATACTTCCCCATGGGGTAGGCTGAGGAATTCCCATTATTTTGGGCATCTCTCAGAAATGGATTCCTGTGCAAAATAGTTTTCCTTCAAGGAACTCCTGTTTGAAGAAGTTAAAAATTCAGTATCAGTCCTCCCTGGTGGTGCAGTGAGTTAAAGCACAGCACTAAGAAGCTAAAGCCACTTGAGCATGAGCTTGATCACCCCCCTCAGAGGTAACCCTCATGGCACAGCAGATCTCTCCTGACTCCCCGCTTTTCCCCTCATCAGTGTACTTCGTCAGTCGGCCTGCTCTGCTCTCCACTCTGTCCTTGGTGAATCCTTTCACCGCCCCTCTGGCTTGTACCCCAGTTCTGCATGAATAAATAAATAAATCTTAAACAATAAATTGCAGTATCTTGTTCTTTGTCCAGAGTTGAAGATTATACATTTAACTTACTGTGAATACTCATTAAAACCGTATGGTTATGATTCATGTGTATTTGCTGGTCTTTGAGCTAAATTTGCTTCCAAAAAAAAAGGCAACAGTTTGGTTCTTGCTAATTTCTGAATCCCTATCATAATGTAGATACAAGTTTTGTGTCTGTGAGCCTTTGGATTACTTCTTATGCTCTGAATAGGTATCATCTCTTTCTGCCTTAAATAAAGTCATATCCTAACAAAAAAACAGATAGTCTGCATTCTTTCCTTACTCATTTTTTCTTTTTCCTTATGTTAAGATTCTGGGTGTTTCCTATAATACAGGTGCATGTTGTGTATGCCAACATCTTTTATTTTTTTATATTTTAAAAGGATCAGTTTATCATGGAAAAGAATGGAGAAAAAGACACTTTCATAGATGCAAGGAGGCTGAAAGAGCTACTGTAAACTAAGATCTTTGCTTGATTTTGTGTGTAGTTATGTTACAAGATAGGGTAATAGACACCTCAGAACCCCCAAATCTGCCTTTTCTAAATAGATTCTGTCATCTGCCATATCAATACAAAACAAATAAAACTTTATTTCTTAAAAAAAAGATTCATTTTTTTTTTATTTATGCATACTAGATCTGGGTTGTAGGCCAGAGGTGGGGGTGGTGGTAAGCGGATTCATGAGTAACAGAGTGGGGAGCAGAACAGGCAAACTGACTGAAATACACTGTTGAGGGGAGCTGTGGGCAAGACAGGTGAGGTCTGCAACACCTTGTGGGTCAGCTCCCTGGCTGGTGCCACAGTGGCTAGTGACAGCTTGATAACACTAACTTTTAACCCCTTGTACCACCAGGGAGGACCACAAACTTTAATGGAAAGGAACTTTAATACAATTAGTGTGCAGCAAGGAAAAGAGGAAGAATAAATTTTCCAAATCAACCACCCAAAGTTACCCAACCCCTTATAGGTAAATGTCTAGCCAAATAGGGTTGGCCCAAGCAAGGCCACTGAGGCCTAAAACCCACCATAAATCTAAGGCGCCTTCATGTGGGGAACCCATAGAAAAGGGTCAGAAATAGCCAGGCAAGTCTGGAAGAAAAAAAGCAAAATCAAAATCAATATAAAAGCTGCCATGGTTAATCTCCCTATGGGTCTCTCACCCACATCTCTTTCAACCAGTCCAAGGCCAAGAAGCAAGTGCAGTGTCTCTCTGCTCCACGTGGCTCCTCCAGGTCTCCTGGCTTTCTAACCTGCTTCCTTCCTTCCCCAGTCTCCTCTCCAGCTTCTTCCTTCTCCCAGCTCAGCCCCACCCTACTTGGATAGGACGGAACCTGGAACTTCCTCTTTTCCTGTGGACCACCCGGTTACAGTCATTTGCTTAACAACAGAACTTAGTTATCATTGTCTTCATGGCTGCCACCCTCAGCTGTGGAAGTCACATTTCTTTAACATTTTCCTCCTTGACACAGAATATGTTGACCTAAAATAAAAAGCAGTTATTTCACCAACAAAACTGGGTTTTGTTTGTTTATTCAGAAACAAGAGAAAACGCTTTTTAGAAAGTGCAGTTTCAAGGCAAATCACACATGCATCTCCCCAAACTAAAGCCCTCTTATACAGCCTAAGGAGCTGCTGCTGCTGGGGACAGAACATCCTTCCTTCACCTGGGGCAGAGAAGCAACATCATCATTTCCTGTAGGAGGTGCAAGCCACATAGGGTCCTGAAGTTTGCTGACTGCATGTGCAGGCAGTCTCTACTAGCTCCCATGCCCCATGTAAATAGAGTAATAGAAATTTCAGTTACCTCAAAAATAAAAGTAGAATGGCAGGTTTCAGCTCTCCTAGAGAAAGCATTTGCAACACTCTACCAAATTACACCTACCCCTTCTTAATACTAGAGTTTCTATTTCACCTCTCTAGATCAATGCTCTGTCGCATGGATAGCTTTTTGGGCACCAGCAAAGTCAGGACACTTCCTTTCAAAGGAAAAGAGAATTGGAATTATAACTAAAACTCTATTTGATATTTCCTTAATGATAGTAGATTTCTATGCCCAATTCCAATATGTTCCCTGTCCCTCTGTTATAGGGCAGGGAGAGGGGCACCACTGAACCCCCAAAACTGCCTGCTCGAAATAGGTTCTGCCATCTGCTGCATCAAGACAAGACATAAGACCTTTAATGGAAGGAATTTTAATATAATGAGCGTACAATACAGAAAAGACAAGGATATAATTTCTAAATCAAACACCTGAAGTTACCTCTCCCCTTGTGGATAAAAGTCTACCCAAAAAGGGAGGTGACTATGGCAGTGTTTATATTGATTTTGATTTTGCTCTTTTCCTCCCAGACTTGTCTGGCCATTTCTGACCCTTTTCCATGGGTCCCGGCCAGAAGGTGCTTTAGTCTTGTGGCAACCTTTCAGGCCTTGCTTTGGGCCAACCCTTTTTGGGTTGACTTTTGCCCACGAGGGGAGGGGTAACTTCAGGTGTTTGATTTAGACATTATATTCTTTGTCTTCTGTATTGTATATTCACTGTATTAAAATCCCTTTTTATTAAAGTTTTATATGTTGTGTCTTGATGTGGAGGATGGCAGAACCCATTTAGAGCAGGCAGGTTTGGGGCTTCAGGGGTGCTCCTCTCTCCTTGTCCTGTAACAACAGCAGGTCATTCAGCAGATTTATTTGCTTAACACAAGAGCTGAAATGGACCACAGAATCATCTTGTTTAAGTGTCTTATTTTATAGAGAGGGAAACTCAGTTTTATTTCCTAGAACAACAACCAATAAAATATCCCTTCACTGCACATTAAAATGTAGCCTTAGTGGCGCCTTTGGCTTCTCCCTCTCCTACATCCTGAATATCTCGGTCCCCTGCCCTGTGTTGGGGCACAGGAGAACATTCCCCAACCCTTCTGTTTTCCCCGCTAATCTGTCCGGAGATAAAAACAAAGTTAATAATGTACATATTGAGAATGTATTGGGCCATAAATTCTAAAGTAAATGGAACAGACCAGAGATGTACAACCTGTGTTAAGGACTGGAGTAGGAGTCTAAAGTATTGAAAAGAGGGGAAGCAGATCTCACATGATAAGGTGGCAATGACTTCCTATGACAAAATCTTACCTCTAGATGTTTGGTAGATTTCTCTGATATAAAGGTTACTTCTGGAGAGATACCTAAATCTAGGTAATCTGTGCTCTTTAAGGTTGTGGCAACAGTTTCTCCAGAGACTCTCAGGGTCTTTGACCTTAGTTCTACATACCAAGGTGACAGCTATTAAGAAAAACCATGCATCTTGGCAAAAGCTTGTCTGAGTATTTGAGAGGAGGATGATCCTTCTCTTCTTTGCTTTAAATTCTACTGCCCCACATCTTCATAGTTCTCTCACCAGTATGATTAAAATATCCCCGGGCCCTCCCTGGTGGTGCAGCAGGGTAGAGCACAGCACTAAGAGGCTTAAGCCACTTCCCATGAGTTTGATACCCGCCTGCCCCAGAGGTGACCACATGGCACAGCAGACCTCTCCTGACCTGCCCGCTGCTCCCCTCAGCAGTGTACTTCGTCGATCTGCCTGTTCTGCTCCCTGCTCTGTCCCTGGTGAGTCCTCTCACCCTCCGCATCTCTAGCCTGTACCTCAGTTCTGTATGAATAAATAAATCTTTAAAAAAAAAAATCCCCAAGTAATATTCTATGTCCCACTGCCCTTCTACCAGCCAACCTCAAACTACGTTTTTGCAAATGCAGCTCTGACCTCATCATTCCTCTGATGCCAGATCCTCAGTGACTCCCTGATAACTAGAGCAGAGCTGCTCAAACTCAACCTATATCAGAATCAAATATTTGCACATTTTTGGCCTTTGCTCTGTTCTTTCTTTCTGGAATGTCCCTTCATTCTTCTCTTAGAAATCTCCTACTCATTGGTCAAGTTCTCACTCAAATAACACTACTATCTAACAAATTTACTATCTAACAAATCTACTATTTCTTCTGAACTTGTCTCCAAATTATGAATTACTTATTTCCATGTATTCCTAATACTTTTTATCTATCTCTGGTCATGCAGATGGGATGTCACAATCCACTTGCCCACTTTTTATGTTGGGATAGTGCTGGGCACAATAAAAAGAGACACAAGTGAAGACATTTTTTTTTTATTAAAAAGTTTATTTTTACATCATTTTTCACATTTTTTTTTCATCTCAATTGTAATCCCCA